CTTAGGCTGCTCTAGGGAGGTGGTGAAGAATGTTGTCTGTATTTGTAGTTTGACATTAATTCTTGGTAGTCCTCACTTAATAAGGTCACATCCTAATTAGAATAAGTTTCTTGCATCTGATCTTTCTCATCTTGTTTAGGCCAGTGACTTACCTCTATTCTCAAGATAACCTGTTTAAGCATGATTATTCCTAATACTTCCATGCGATTCCTTTTCATGATTAAGCCAGCATTCATCTTTGGGTTTGCATTATAATTGAATTACAATTGACTGTCTTTTTTCTGTTTTTAATTTTAGGCTTTTGTTATTTTTTGTGGACTGGGCATCAACAACACAATTATGTATGACCAAGTGAAGAAATCCTGGGCAAAACAGTCTGTGGCTCTTGATGTATGTATACATCTTAATGAAGCCTTTTCTTGCTCATAAGTGTCACATGCAAAGGAACCTACTGCTTCTGAATTTATTGTAGTTAGCATCATTTTCTATATCTACCTCTCTACACCCTAGAGTGTTGTCTTATTAAAGTAATGCTGAAGGGAAACTTTCTCAGGGTATGCTTAGCTGGGGAGCTCATGCACAGCTTAAGTAATTTTGAACCTGCATATCTCACTTGATGTCTGTTTTTTACACTATAAGGGGGGACAGTGATGATGGAGAATCTAGTTTCATACAGGTGTAAGTGTAGTAATTAATGTAGATGTTAGATGTATTTTCTTGTCCATCAGTAAATAAAAATTCCTCAGAATTTCATATGTTTAGATAGCTTCCCGTTTTTCTAGTGTTGAGAGGTGTAAGTAAAACATACTGTGAGCAGGACAAAACTTGAAAAAAGTTATCATAGAGTTTTTTAGTATCAAAAGCAACATCAGCTGCATCCCTTTCAGATACATGTCTTGCTAGAATGAAGTCAAAGCAGGGTCACTGGCAGCTCAGTAAGAGCTCTGTTGTGGATCAAGGCCAATTCGTAATGCAAGGTCCTGGAATTCCAATGCATCATGTCTTTCTATAAAATACATATAGCGTACCTAAATAGATGGAAGGCTTTCTTTTTCTTACCCATTGCCTTTGTAGGAAGTTCTTTTCTGGTTTCTGCTGTCCCCGCCCATTCATGAAGAATTAAATCTACCAGCTCCTTTAAAACAAACTCTAAAATGCAGAACACTAAAAAAAAAATCATGATTATTTAAACTTCTAGGAGTAAAGCATTCTGTTCTCTATTATATTCTGGAGATTTTAAACATAATGGTACTAATAAACTTCCTGAGAACAAAACTTGAAGTTTTGAGGATACCTTTACAAATTTACATTATTTATACTAAAACAATAAAGAATGGTTTGAGTAAAATTTAAGGTCTTTTAAAAAGCATTATACAAGACTGATTAATCTTAAAACATTCCTCTGATTGAAAGGGTAATGTTGCTAAGATTTCAGTATTGTTTTAAATTTCCTGTGTGATAAGAGAAGAAAATGATCTGGCTATCGCTGATGTGTGCACTCTTTAACTGTGTAACTCCTGTGAGTTTATACGCTACCTGCCATTACAGTAAGAACCACAAAAATAGCATTGGCCTGATTGAGATATGAATTTCTGTGTATTAAAACAAAATTCAAACCAAATTGGATTGCAATGAAGATAGCTTTTTTTCCTTTGCTTTAGGCTTGGAGATATTTATGTATTGGAGATCTCTCCTGTAAAGCACATAGGCATGTTAAGGCTTTTTGAAGTCAATGGGACTGTTTGTATTTGAAAACACTCTAAGCATAAGGAGGTTTTTTATTATTCCTGTATATGTATTTATTTAGGAGGAAAAGTTAAAAACTTTCCTTTTCAGGTATCCTGCAGGCTTCCTTATTCTTTACGTATCATAGTCATGAATTACTATAAGCCCTAATGCCCTAGATTTTTGTGCAATATGACACTTCAGAATGAATACTCCTCCTGGCAAGAAAAACAAGCAGTAACGGATATCACACTCAGATACACAGGGATGAAAGTTAACATAGAAGTTTGTTAATTACTACTGAAATAAAGGAAATTAAATTTATTGGTTTAAAATACAGCTGCTTTCTTTGATCTAAAAAAGACTAATAGCCATATATCTTGAATGTAGATTATAGGTTTCATAAATGGCCCTTATGCTTCAGTGAAGTGTAATTCTTTCTATAAAAGAGTAACAACTCCTGATAATATTTATGTAAAGTGATTGCAGATACAGCAGAAAAGTACTGAACAAAAGAATGGTGTATGCTGAAGGACTGAGAGTCCATTTTTCAGGAATAGAATACTTCATTAGTATTATGTATTTAGAATGACATTGAGTGGCATTTGAAAATGACATTGATATCAGATGTAAAATAAAACAATTTTATATACTTTAAGATTCTTGTCCAGATATACAGATACTGTTTTTCATATATAATTCTCATAAGATTGACTAATAAACAGAAGACTAAAATGTAAATAAATGATGGGGAAAGGTTAACAACAGGATGCTCTATGATTCAAAACCAGGCTAAAAACTGTTTCATATATTAAGAATGCAAAATTTGCAAATAATTAAAAGATTAGAATAATCAATATAAAAGATGACTGTAAAAATCTAGAGGGATATAATGAATGCAGATAAAGTAGAAGCTTGACAAGAATTTTGGTATTAAGTGTAATCTGTCATAGCAGAAGACATAATTTTGCTTATAGATTTCTGAGAGAAGCTATGATATGTTTGGGCAGAAAAATAGATATTATTTGAGGAAGGACATGATGTATAGTTCTAGAAAGTAAAACACGGGACAGAACAAGTACATTGGTGCTTGTTATTTATTCTTTTATAGTGCAGGAATGATTTTGTGTTACTGTAAAAGATGATGCCTCTAAAATTGATATTAAATACATCTTGGGACTTACTGCCATAAGATATTGCAAGTCAAGGGCATTTGAGATAATTGAGGTATTTGTATGAGTAATGGAGATATTCACAGATGAAACAATTTCAAATTGAGCTGTAGCACATAAGCAGATGGGGTGCTGCTGTGTGGTGAGGAGGACCTGTCCCTCCTAGAAGTGTTCTGGCTCTATAAGCATCTTCATGGGCCAGCACCTTGTCTGATGCACAGTCACTTTGTGGGTCCAGTACACAGGATGGCTCTTGCACCTTCTGGAGTACTTGTTCAATGTTAGTGTTGTCTCATAAGGATATAATGTATTCTATGTAAATGTAGGCATACTTGAAGATGATAAGAGGAGGTGTACAGTATTTTGTGCATTATATTTGATGCTTTCATCTCCAGAAGAGTATTGAAGAGAATGTCGGGCATAGCACAGAGGTGCTAATTTCCATGCAGTGATATGCCACTAGCAAAGGTATTAAAGCTTTACAGTATAGCAAAAGGTATTATTTAAAGTCTATAAATCTACCGTTATTTTTACATTAAATTTTTTCTTTTAATTGTAGAACTCCAGAAGAACAATGTAGGAGTGCTTATAATATTAAATTACTTACTGTCCATGATTCCCTATAAAATTCCCTGCAACGTAAATGCCAAATGTATACCTGATAACCTGCAATTAGTTATTATATGCTGACATTCAGAACTGAATTACCATGCATAAATATTAACTAAATTTGTTTTAAACATCATTGATTAGACTGCAGTACAAAGCCCTATTATTTCTACTTGTCAAGTCTCCAAAAATGATTTTTTTATCTTTTGTTCTGGGGCAGGTGTTATCTTATCATGCAACAAGTTCGAAGGCAGAAGTTGATAAATTTAAGGTAAGGCTTTAAGTTTTTAGTTATTTCTGAAAATATAACAGTAAATTAAAATAGATGCAGATTATCTGAGAGAAGTTTTACATCAAAAGCAGTAAATCATAACTGATTTATGAAGGATGTATTACATGTGAGGCTGCTAGGCAGGCAAGTTGGAAAGAAATCTTTCAAAGGATAAAGAGCTGTAGTAATGGGTGCACAGCAGCAAAATACCATTGTCCCAGCACCAGCTGCTGGAACTGCACATTAGTTTGAGTTTGGCCTCCTCAGCAAGAAACTCCATAGGGAAGTCATATCCCAGTGTGAGGTGAGGAAAGAGACTAGAGAAAACGAGAGGAACTTGGATGCTTCACATGCTTACAGTGTGGAAGCTGTTGTGTATTTGCTAAAAAAGTAGAGCATTCACTACCAAGATTGTGCATAGACTCAGAAGGCTGGATGCGAAGGTGAGAAATCCTCTTCTAACTTCTGTAAATGCCCTGGTCAGAACTGTGAATTGATATGTGCTGAACACAGGATTGCTAGGGACCAATAATAATGTGTTCTCGCTGAATCCTGCCTTGCCAAGGGGTAGAGAGTAGGAATTATGGTGACCTTGCTCTTTCATCACTGCCAGCACTCCAGAGCTGCTTCTGTGATAGGCTTTGTTTGTCCTCCTCTACTTGAGGAAACACTAGGGACCCTTGATGGTACTTTTCTTGGCTATGAGGAGTGAGTGCTGTAGATGGCTCCTCAAAGCTGTTTGTGAAGTTCTTGTGGTGGGTATCAGTCTTGATCTCCTGTATGCAAAGTGCATTGGAGACTGTGGTGAGGTCTGGGAAGGAGATCTGGACTGTTGTGACCCTGCACTGCTGACATTCCTTGCTGTGGCTTCCTGGCACCTGTCTGGCTGAAAAATAGCTGTTTGGTTATTTTGACACTTGGCTGGCTGGCTGCAACCTGATCTCTGCACCATGAGGATGATTGTGGTAGAAGGGGGAAGCTGTGGGTGATGTAGCAGAGCTGATGAGTTACCTGGGCTGAGAAAGGGTAGCTATTGCTTGGTAGTTAATTAGTTTGTAGATTATTGCCCAAATGATGGCTGTGTCTTAGAAATCTCTATTGATACCTGGTGATAAGGGTGTAATATTCTTCCTCCATTGTAGTTATTGGTACACTTACCTGCCTTTTTGTAAACTGAAGATTAGATTACAGAATTACTGCTAGAATCAAACATGCTCAAAGATTGTTCCAACGCTGCAGCCAGCAGAAAATACTTCTGTGTGCTTAGTAAGTTGTATTTTATGTCTGGCAAAAAAGAACACAGAACACAATGAGAAAGAGAAGAAAGAAAGGGTTAACGGACCATAATTTTTTTTGTATTTTAGTTTACATTAGAATAATCACCTGTAATATAGCTTCTATGACTGTCAGGATTCAACCAATATCTTTCTACATAACAGAGGGCCATACTTCTTAGTTGCTGTCAGCCACTGAAAAACAATTCTCGATCATGATCTGTGTAGTTGAAATAAAAGCCTGCTGTGTTACTCTTTGGACTTGGAAACTAGTGTGACGCGGAGATAGTCTACATGTTTTCCCAGGTGTCTTCATTAATAGATTTGCCAGTCTCCAAGTAAGGAATGCCTTGTTGCTCCCCATTTACACTGAAAGCATGTAACTGTCTGTTTAATGGTTAATTATAAGGTAAAGGGAAATGAAAAGCATTTATTCATTAATAACCCTGGTAGATACATTTTTATAAAGAACATTGATGAGAAAATGAGGAATATAACCAAGCTGTGCTTAAACTAAGCTGAGATATTTTTTCAGAAAAGTTTTCCCTTTCCTATATCCAGTTGTCTTGCTTTCAGTTCCTGACAAAATGAGTGCCATGTATTCTTTGTTAATGCTTTACACCACTGGTTGTAAACAAAAAGCAACAAACACCCAGAGAGGACCAGTGTGGCTTGTGGGCCTTTCACAGAGAGCTCATGCCCAGAGAGTGCTGTCCATCTGTGGGATGAAGTGGCTCCCGTGGCCTCCCTTGCAGAGCTCTGGCAGCCAGTCTCCCTGCTGAGGTCTCATGGGGCATCCTACTCTGAAATCACTGGCTTTTTTCCTCTGATCATTATATTCTTATATTTTGTATAAGCCCTTTGTTATATTAAGGTCATCTTCTAGACTTGACTGGGTAATAAACAATTCCTCCCTCTGGGGATGTTCAGGGCTAAAACTGTCCCCTCTGCCTTTGGTGATTTATTGGCAGATGTCAGAGGAAGTGTCTGTTACAATTTACCCAATGTTCTGGTTCAGTCAGAACAGTAACAAACATATGTGATAGAAAGACCTAGATGAGAATAATGCCAGTAGTTCACTACTGGCTCTTGACTGACATGGGACCTAACAGTAATTAATGACTTCGGAGTGACAATACATTTGAATTGACAACTTTTCAACATGTTACCCCAAATATACTGTAACTGCACCCCAGCAGCTTGGAAATAATTCTTCCTTCTTGTTCAAGTTGTTTATTTCCATCTTTGTAATCTTATTTCTTTATAGTCTTAATAAAATGCTTTTCCATTAATTTTTATTTTATTAAAAGCTCAAGAATATTCCGATGCAAAGTGAATAATTGCAAGTACACTTGAAGTTTATTTTTTCTTAATCTTTTACCAGTGAATTAATTTTATTGCATTACAAAAAGCCTAGCAAGTCTAAAGTTGATTTTTTTTACTTGAAATTTTGTCAATAATTTCCTACTGTTATTTGATAAATTCCCAAATATACAAATTCATAAACATACCTGGCATCTGTTTAAGAATTAAATGTAACCATTTGTGAGCAGATTCTGTAAAGTAAATAGCATTTATTTCTGTTGCTAGTAATCCTGTCTAAGAGTTAATGTAACAACAAAAAAACTCACCACAATAAGAAACCCTTAAGAAATGAAATAGTTTTCTCTAGATGCTAGGATGGGAAAAAGCACAGAGCACCATTGGTTGTAGAGCAGGAAAATACAGAGGGAAGTTCACAGTGCAGAACAATGAAACGTGAGCATATGATAATGGATCATATTATGATACAATATTATGCAATTGGCCTATTCCGTGTCTGATTTCTACAGTTTTCTGAAAACAAAGCAGCAACATATTCACACTGAACAGGGTTTTTTGCACATTGTTGAAGGTATTACACTTCTTGGTGTTACTAAAATATAGCTTTCACTAATAAAAATCTGAAAGCCAAGTTTAAAAAAGCTTATATGATTAAAAATTGTTCTATTAATGTTTGGATGGGGTTTTTCTCAGAAGAAAATCCAATTATGTGAATCATTACTGTAAAAATTCGTGTCACCAGTGCTTTTCATTATTTGCATTAAAGCTTTTGGGATTCATTAGCACTTATGCTAACAGGCCTACATTTCTCAGGAGGCAACTACAAGCAGGACTGATGTGAGGCTCGGAGGCAGCGTAGGCAGGTGCAGCTCTGCTGACCTGGATGGAGCCACCCACTCAGTCTGCTGCCTGCACCCAAGGGAAGTGGGAAAGGAAAATTCATGCCCTTAACTCAATGAGCTTGTTTTAGAGATCAGAGAGGGGGCTTAGCCCTCCAGGTAGGCACAAGTGAAACTGCAGAGATCTGGATTGGGAGCCTGAGCAAATCCCTTAGTCTCCGTAGGTGACAGTCAGGCCCCAGGCAAGGTAATGGGAGGTTTGCCAT